TCTTAATTATGGAGCAACCGGTGGCAATGGCGCCTGTATCTGAGTTATGGCCAGCCCGGGTTGAGCAGTTTAAGAGAAGGTCAGATTAGCGGTCAGTTCTCGAATTCGGTTCTCCCTACTCATCTTCTTGAGCTTCATTCTGCGGTTTTGAAACCAGATCTTGACCTGCCTGTCAGTGAGGTTTACGCTCTTACTGATCTCTAGGCGGCGCTCTCGGGTGAGATACATATTGAACAAGAATTCTTTCTCTAATTCCAGTGTTTGGTGTTTAGTATAAGGGCACCTCTTCTTCCTGCCACTCTTTGCCGTTAACCAATTGCTGGTTGGAGTATCAGACTTGATTTCCTCTAGCAAAATCAAAGGGAGAAGGAAGCGGGAGGGGGAGGAAGACAAGACGAAACAAAACAGAACAGAAAAGAAAAGACCTCAGTCTGTTATACTATAGCCTTGGCCATGAACCCATTTCCATTGTGTCTGACAGACAGGGTGCCTTCCTTGTTGGCATGAAACATTGCCAGCGAGGTGTCTACACGAACTCAGGAAGGAGCGTGATTTTTTAAACATTCTTTCCATATTAGGATTTCTAAAATGCCAGCAACACAATTTACCATGATAGGGACTGTTCAGTTGTATTCTTTGTGGCATATCTAGGCACTCAGTTTGTGAATAGACACATTTTGGCTCAGCTACAATGCCGGCTGACCATTTCAACCCTGCCGCCTTGTCAACAATACTACCTTGATGGGTGTGACTTTTACAATCAGCCCACACCTTGTAAACCACCGATTCTAACCAAAAGAATGGAGGGAAAACCTCGGTGAAAAACCCTCTCATCCCATTCATTTCGAAAGGGCCTCATCTATAACGCTCCTGCCATTGAACAAAACCCCAAAAGCAGGGATATTTTAAACTCTCAACTAATCCCAAAGTTTGAGCAATGAATACCAAACTGAGTGATGATATTTTTTCATTTGCCGTTTAGGATTCTCTCCACTCCATCCTCCCATTAGATGCAGAATTTAACTTTGATTTGTTCATAGTGGCCTGCTGTTGTTCTTTATTTTAAATGCACAAAATAAGGTCACATTCTCAGCAGGGGCTGCAAAATTATTTGTGGGGTTGAACATTTTTTGGGGCTTCTTCCTCCCCCCAACCCCTGGAGATGAAATCTGTGGCTCGCCGCCCATCCCTTTTAAAGAATAATGAACTAAGCACATATCCTTTAAGTATTTAATAAAATCCTCCTCCAAACTATCATTAACCTTTGGAGATCCAAACTGGATCCAATTACTGGATTTCCTGGTCTAGCAAAGAAAAGGCTGTTTCTAACTGCCTCCCTCTTTCACACGTTACCTAGTTCTTCACCGCCTCCCCTGAAGGAAGAAGAACACTATTAGTCTGATGTGTCTGTAGTTAGATTAGTGAAAATCCACAGAGGTGAGGTTGGATCTCAGTCTGTCTGGGGTGGGGGTGGGGGTTGCACAGACCGTAATTTCACAACCTGGGAAGGTACTGTTTGGACGCTCGCTGCAATGAGGGAAGACAGCGAGCTCCAGGGCCAGGAGGGAGACTCTTTCAGCAGGGACTGTGGGAAGCCCCTAGCAGCTCCCACTTCCCCTGAGCGCCTAGCACCTGCAGCACCCAACGGAGGGGGAGCGAGCGGGGGAGCGAGGAGGGGACGGGACGGGACGGAGGGAGGGAGGGAGGGAGCGTCCTTTCTGCTGAGCAGTGACGGCCGCCTTAGGCAGCGGCTCCCCCCCCTTACAGGCCGGGTTCGCCCACCCGGGCCCCCCCCCCCCCCGCCCCCCCCCCCCCCCTCCCCCCCCCCCGCCGCCCCCCCCGCCCCCCCCCCCCCCCCTG